GAGAGAGAGAGAGAGAGAGAGAGAGAGAGAGAGAGAGAGAGAGAGAGAGAGAGAGAGAGAGAGAGAGAAGGGGGGGACTGTGCCAAGCTGTCCATTATGTGACTGTGACACGTGCTACTTCGTTTATTCTTTGCCTTATGTGACTGTGACACGTGCTACTTCGTTTCTTCTTTGCCTTTTGCCTTCCAGGAAATATTCCAAGATGCATGCCCCACATTATGGCTCTCATGTCAATGCTACTCCCGACATGTCCCCCACCCAAAGAGCAACTGCCAAGCAGATTGAATGCTGATTGTTGCATTCATACAATGCAAAACTTGCTTAACATCAGTGGGACTCTTATATTTGGAGGCGCCTTCCAACAACTTCCCCGGGCCAATCGTCAATGACATCATCCGAGCCCACCAAACTTAGACTCACCCACACGTGCTTGCACTTGCACACACAGCGCCCAAACTCAACAAGTAAGCACGGGGCATACATGCAAAATAGTTTGATCACAAACATATCCAGAGAACACAGGAAACAAAGTCTGATTCTGAATCTTTACCAAAAACATCAACGGGACAACGGACTGGATTTCCTCAGAAAAGTCCAGAGTTCTTGCACAGCACAAAACAAAAACGATGCTGCAAAGGTAACGGCTCCCCAAACAAAACGCACAAAGATAAAGAAAAAAGAATGTTCGGTGGTATTCCCTGCTATTTTCTTGCATGCGGGTTTTTGTCTGCTCTCAGGCTCTTCTTTTTCTTATTGTGAAAGAAGTGATATATGATAGGGCAGTTCCTTATGCGTTTTCTTTCTTTTGTGCTTTTTTCTTTTTCTGTTTTTGCGGGCGAAGCCGCAATGGGTCATCTAGTTGAAGATAAGCAGAGTAAAAGCAGAACACACAAAAAAAACTGTAGCAGGGAAGAAGAGACTGCGTTACACCCAGGAAAAGAAAGGAAAGCTCCCACCGTCTTCACCCAAACAGAATGCCCGGCAATTATGACCGTATCTGGACTGGAAGTTGCACCAAATACGGCTAGAATGACCGGGCGTTCTATTCGGGTGAAGATGGTAGGTATCCATATTGACAACACCCAAGAGTAGGGGTCTTATGGGGAAGGTGTAGAGCCAGCAGTAGCGAAGCGAGGAGTCATTGCCAGAAAAAGTATATGGAAGAAGTCTGGATTTGTAAGGTGCACTTACAAAAAAGGTTATATCCTTCCTATTTCAATAAGAATTATGATCCCGATGGACCATGCACGACAATGAAATACAAGGCAAGGCAAGGCAAAACAGTTGGTGCTTCTTCTTCCTTCTTCTTCTTCTTCCTTCTTCTTCTTCTTCCTTCCTCTTCTTCTTCTCCTTCTTCTCCTCCTCCTCCTCCTCCTTCTTCTCCTTCTTCATGTTCTCCTTCTTCGTGTTCTCCTTCTTCGTCTTTCTCCTTCTTCGTCTTTCTCCTTCTTCGTCCTTCTCCTTCTTCGTCTTCCTCTCTTTCTTCGTCTTCCTCTTCCTCATCTTCCTCTTCCTCCTCCTTCTTCTTCTTTCTCCTTCTTCGTCCTTCTCCTTCTTCGTCTTCCTCTCCTCCTCCTCCTCCTTCTTCTTCTTCTTCTTCTTCTTCTTCTTCTTCTTCTTCTTCTTCTTCTTCTTCTTCTTCGTCGTCGTCGTCGTCGTCGACTTCTTCGTCTTCTTCTTCGTCTTCTTCTTCGTCTTCTTCTTCGTCGTCTTCTTCGTCTTCTTCTTCGTCGTCTTCTTCGTCTTCTTCTTCGTCT